TGTCCAACTGATAAGGCTGAAAAAAATTTTTTCACTTGTTATTTACAGTAAGATAAATACATTCACCAACTTTTATTAAAATAAAACCATTTACACTGGGTGTTCGGATTTAAATGTCACTTAGTATATGTTGGTACTAAATCAGATATCGATGTTGAGCCATAACTGTATTTAAATAGTCATACTATGCCCTGGATCCTTTTTTGTACTGTTCTTCCTCGGAAACATTTAAAAAACTGGCTAATAAATATGTCTCTATTGTTGGGACATCAGTTCCCTCAGCGAGACTTTTTTGAAGCCGAAAAGATACCCTGCCAAAGCCGAAACAGATTATCCGTTGACCGAATCTCAGAACTTCAGAACTTATATTTTTACATTCGTTAGATGCTGAACAAGCTAATTTTTATGATTTTGAAGTTTGAGTTATTTGTAGTATTGTTCTTTAGTACCTTAAAATTGCATTTTCTAAATTCTAAAGTACAATGAATGTTCCTTCAACGCGCCGAACGCTTTGTGAAAAATCTTCAATCACTAGCGTGATGCAGAGTCTTTTGTAGAGCTAAAGGCAATACATTTTACAAAAAGCGTACCCATCCATATAAATGCAGAAATGTCCTAAAACGTTATTGATTCCGTCGGTGCTCTCGCCTGCGCCGCATACCTCCAAGTGATGTCACATTGAGCTGTGACGTCATCGTATACAGTGGCGGGTAGAAAAAAAGGGAGTCGAGAAGGTACTCGGTAATCGGCTAGATGGAAGTATCTTCAAAATTCGTATTAAAATTTGAAAAAGGACGTCGATAAGAGATATCTATTGTCTGCGAGATGAATCGTTGATATACAGGGTGTTCGAAAAATAGTAGCAGATATTTTAGAGGGTGGTTCCTTGTTAAAAAATATAAAAAAAGTTTGTTTAAACGTGAGTTTTTAAAAAACTTTTTTTATTATTATCATAAAAAGTATTTACGCCATTCTGTTGAAATTTGGCAATATTATTTGTTGTATTAGGAGGCTAATTCAGCTCTGAGTAGATTGCTAATATTGTTGTTAAACAAGTGTGCCCCACTGCCTTTTTTTGTAGTTTTAATTTGATTAAGCATCTAAAAATACAACTTCTTTGCCTTCTGCATTTTTTCCGTATCTCATTTCGTTTTCGAGAAAAAAAAAATCCCTTATTGTATGTCACCGAACAAAAGCGGCTTATTAATTTTTGCTAAAAAAATCACAAGTGCCTTGGAAAACAAAAGGTCGTTTCTGCAAAGAGGTTTAACATTTGCGCGTCAGTTCTTCTAGAAAAAAATTATTCATGTAGTTCTTTGCGAATATTTCCTAAAAAAGTATTTTTTTTTTAATTCATCACCCTGTATCTTCAAAACTCTGCATTTCCGGACACATGCTTATATGTAGAAACTTTTTAAATATTTTTTAACAAAGAATCACCCTCTGGAATATCTCCGTCTATTTTTCGAACACCCTGTACAGAGGCTTAAAAAAAACATTTAAATTTTTTTTTTATCTGTATGTTCCACAAATCTATTGAATCACGCTCATGTAAGATCTTACAATATCGCATCGGTAAATTTTTTCAGAGTTGCGGCTATAAACAAATATTTTCGAAAAAAATACGTTTTTCTGGTAAGTCTTTTTGAGACACTTCGCATGTTTTGATTGTGTAATTTGTAAATTATTCATAGTTACTAGTGGATAGGTTTTTTAAAATAAGGTTAATGTCATATGTGCCAAGGGCGTCGCCAAGGGGGGGCACTTGCCTTCCCCCCTAGAGACCCTGAAAAATGTAATGAAATGCAAATTAATAAACTCCAGAAGTACACTCACTTGACGTGCTTGAACAAATTCACCATTTCCATTCCCAGTATTCAAACTCTAAGTTATAATATAGTGACAAAATTTAATTTAAGTTCCATTCATCGTACAGCCAAGAGCTTGTGGAGATTCAAACATTGAACTTTATACTTTTCTTATCACAATCACCGTACTACACGTGTAAAATTTTCTATTTACTTTACCTACAATTTATACATTTCTCATTCATCATCTGAAATCGGCTGGCAACTTCCCTGATATGTATGGACTTCGTTTTATGAACCTTTATGTGCCGTTTCTTCCACCACTCTTCAATTTGGAGCAAGTTTCTTGTAGAGCTTAGGACGCTACATCTCAATTCTCATGGCATATCAAGATAGCAGTATCATCTGTAATTGTTGCTATGCACACGCAATTCGCAGCTGGTAGATCTGCAATATATATATATATATATATCTGTACCCCAGAGCCAGACAATGTTAAGTCCATTTTTGTCAAAAATGAGTTAAATATGTTAAGCTTATGATAATATTGTGAATTTTCATTTGCTGCAAGCAGCATCCATCTATCTTTAATAATAAGGAAGTTACGACTTTTTAACTCATATCAAGTCGTATTCAATACAATGCAAGAAAAATATTTCATATATAATTATCTCAAAACTACTTATTTGGACTTAACCTAGTCTGGCTCTGAGGTACAGATATATATATTAATTTAAATTCATTTTACACAATTGTTGCTACTTTTATAAATGTAATTGCAGCTCCTGATAATGATTGCAAAGACCATTGAAAGCTAGAGAGATTAAAAAAGTACAAATAGTCCTCCTTGCTTAAATTTTTCTCGAAGTACCCAACAAAAGGCGGAAGCTTTAATTTTTCACCTATATATATATATGTATAGAGAGAGAGAGAGAGAGAAACTGGTCATGCGGAGAAAAGTATATAACAAAAAATAGAAAAATAATGAGCAAAATCCGCAAAAAGAAGGAAAATAGATTCGAGAAGGAAATAGGATAGGTAACCCGAGCGATACGTATTTCTGCTGGTTGGCTTCATCAGGTCCGAAATGAATGCACATATAGTAATAATAATAATAAACCGTTTTTTGTTAGAAAAAACACTTTACAGATAATGCATTTATTATTATCTATAATTAGATTAGTGAGCAGCTAATGGCGAAGTTTAGCTATGGCAGCTAGTCTTACACTTAACCATTAACTGCATAAGAATAATAGATGGTAAAAAAGTACAGCTGTAAAGAAAATAAAAGGAGGAAAATGCCCGTGTAACTGATTACAACCTAAATAAAAATTAGCTTAAAAATATAATGCTGGAGAAAAACACCTTTAAGAATCACCATTGAGCAGAAGAGCTCTTAAGTGTTTTTTAAAACTATACAGCGGCAGGCTTTTTGTTCTGTAATCTAAGCTATTGTACAACATGCATGCATTATATGAGAAGGACCTGTTAAAAACAGATGAACTATGAAGTGGCATTGTTAAAGCGAATATGTTACGGATATGTCGTCGATGAACTTTATACCTAAAAATTAGTTTTTCACGTAAATAAGTTGGAGTTCCAGAGACAAGTAACTTATGTATAAAGGTTAGGTTACACCAGTATCCGGATGTATGGGCATGTGTATCTACTTTTGTAGTTACATATGTGCATTCATTTCGGGCCTGATGAAGCCAACCAGCAGAAATACGTATCGCTCGGGTAACCTATCCTATTTTCTGCTCCCATTCTTGTCCTATTTTTTGATATATATATATATATTACAATAGTATGTGAGATTCTTGCTTTGATTGTAAGTAATTGAAAATAATTTTGCAAAATAGTTGCTATTTCTTCTTAATGTTATTGCAACTCCTGATGATGATGGCATAGTACATTGAAAGCTAGAGAATAAGAAAGTATAAAGCGTCCTCATTGCTTGAATTTTGTCGAAGTATATTATAAGAGTTGTTTTAATTTAAAATTCCGGCCTCGCTAATAATGGCAGTTCAATTGTAACTTTCCATGGTCCACATACCATAATTTTATTATTAGCACCAATTACGAGGTGCACTCCAATCCGATGAACCCCCAAGTGCACAGGGGTGGATGGAACAGTGGCGCTCAAAATCTTTAATTCGTTTATCTGCTCTAGAATCACCTAGAATCTAGGTCAGCAATACCGTGGTATTAGGATAACAATGTGAGCCAGAAATCGGCTTTGTTTTGACGATCGCGCGCTGTAGCTTCTAAATTTGATGCCGCGCGTCGCTAAATCCAATTATTTGACGCTAATTGAAGTGTATGATTACCTGCGTTGGGCTCAAATTGCGATAAGCCCGGGAAAATCAACATTGGATTTGTTATACCTAGTAATGTGATCGATTGAAGTGAGTTTCACAAAGAAAAATGCTGAAGTCTCCGTGTCTCAACTTTTGTTTAGAACATCGTTAGGTTGTCTCTCTTACGAATTCACTAATTGACTTGCTTTTCAAGATATTTGACTCAAGTCAAGTGTTAGACATTTTCAATCTAATACATATTGTCGTTTGTCTTCTGCTTTTCGTTAAAAGGGCGTCCTGAAATCGTATTTTTAATTTAGAAAGAAGCTCCAAAGACTGTATCTCCCTAGTTAGGGCGATATCTTTACCATAATTTGGAATAGCTTCTGTTGGTATTGGAACCTCATCGACATCAGAATCTTCGGAAAGTTATTGTATTTCAACTGGATTTTCAATTTCCTCGCCTAATTCTTCAACGTACAAACTTTCATCTAGGTTCAAAAAATCATAAACGTTTTCGTTATCAGTCAATTTCAATAAAGTCTTATTTTCAAGGATATCTGATAGTACATTAAGTGGTAAGTCATATTGTGGGTTAGGTGTATCAGTCTCATTTAACTGGTCTTCACTTTGCATATTTTCATGCTCAATCCTGTTTTGCAATTACCAGGTCCTAGTTTGTTGTCAGAATATTTGTCATATAGCCCGTTGCGTGTTCTACAGGACTCTCCGAGTTTCATATTGAAGATCAATCAATGAATTATTCTTTTATCTGTTAAAAAACTGTATAAGTGCTTTGTTGTTAAGGTGTCTACTAGTTCCAAGATCTGGATGATAATATAAAACATCGAAGAAAAGTATTGAAATTTTGATGATTGTTTTTCTTTTACAGCCAAAATACTCCTGTTCTACGTGATTTTCTATGCAGTACTAGTAGGTTTCTTCTCCGCAATGTTGGCTGTGTTCTATACAACCTTAGATATGAAGACACCTAAGTGGCAGCTAGACAGTTCGCTTATTGGAAGCAATCCAGGTAAAATTTCTATTTACTAACTTACTGGTGTTTTATGCTTTTTGACAAGCTTAAAAAATTGCATATTTTTCAATTTGTGATGTCCCGCTCCAACTCTTCAATTTTCGACCTGCGATAACGCTTTCGAGACGGACATACTGCTAAACATGGATACTGAGCTCCTCCCCCCCAGCACTTTATTTGATATCAACCCTCCTCAAAATATTTCGCGGGGGGACAATGCCCTAAACTGAATAGTAAATAATTTAGCTAGAACCGTCACATCTTGTTTTAAAACCAATACAGTGTGTCCTCAAAGTTGGGACTTTACCGAGAATATAGGTCAGACAATAATAGGCAAGTTTTTCTAGTAAGTCATACCGAGTGTCTCAAATTCGACCCTCGCCATCTAAATGGGGGCAACGTTGAGTATCTAGGTAACTAACAAAATGCCGCTCAGGAAGTACTTCCGGAAAAACCTAATTTTTCCACCTCCTAGTGCTTTCATTTTGAAACTAAACTGTCTACCAAGGTTGCGATCGCCTTAACCTAGTACAGATGGTAACGTCAACTGAGGATGCTTGTTTGATCGATGAGTGTACATGAACGTTTGCGTGTTGTCGGGATATAAATATAGTTTGCATTACCAGCAGTGTGTTTGAAAGTGCCAAAGCGAGTGTTCCTCGGATCTGAAAAAAACTTGGCACAACTTTTTTAGCGGGTGGGGTAGTTTCATCATTAAACTAACTTTCTATACAAACAGTATTACAATGTGCTGTTCTCTTTTTTGTTTATATTTATTAATATGAATGTTGGATGAACATTTTTTAGCTGTTTGTTCCAAGGTATCCCATTTTAATCTCTCCGTCTAAATATTTAGTAAAGTATGCATCCTACAGAAAAAAATTCAAACAGTAGGGTTTAGAGTGATCAAAATTATGGTGACATGACCATGACCTAGTCCTTGAAGGTTCAATGTTATTTCAATGTCATGTTAATCTTTTCAAATAAAACCTCCCTTTTTTCACTGGAATTGGTAAGAGAAGGAGTTTTTACGTCTGAGTGCGACCTTGGCTATAACCACCACCATGACCTGCAAGACCAGAACAAATAAACACTGAAAATAATTTACGCCAGCAAAAATGTTCGACAGCAAAGTTGTGAGCTTTGTAGGGGTCTCCCAAAGGTGACCCGACCATAGAGCATGACTTTGTCCATTACCTTGACCATGACCTTAACCTTGATCATGAATATGACCATGACTTTGATCATGACCTTCGTCATTACCTTGACCATTAGTATGACCATGCACTTGACCATGGCCTTTACTATGACCTTGAGCATTACCTTTAGCATGATATTCAAATGGACTTGACCAACACCTTGACAATGGCATTGACCATTACCTTGACCATAACCTTGATCATGACCTTGACAATGGCTTTGATTATTTCATTGTCTATGACCATGACGTTGACCTGGACCTTGAACTTTGTCATTACCTTCACCATGGCTATGACCATGCATTTGACTTTGATCACGACTACGACCTTGGCCACAGTCATGACCTTGACAATGGCATTGGTGTTTAGCTGGACCATGACCTTAATAATGACCTTGGCCATTATACTGCCCATGACCTCGAATACGTCGTTGACATTGACCTTGAACTTTACATTGACCTTAGCTTTGGTCATGTCATTTACTATGACCTTGACCGCGACCATGATCATGGCCTTTGCCATGACATTGACCACGGTCTTCAAAGTCGTGTCAAAGTTTTATACCTGTATATACAACATTTCTTGCTCTCTGCAGTTTTTGGCGTAAGTGGTTACCTCGCAAATAACATTTAAGATTGACGTGGCTTTAAACTCGGACCTAAGATTTCCTGCTTTTTTCAATTCCATGATAAAGATATAGGGGTTAGGTGACCCCAAGAAATCTGACAACGGTGCTGTCGAAAATTGTTGCTAGAGCAAATTGAGCATTACCTTGACCATGAGTATGATCATGCACTTGACCATGACAATGACCTTTAGCATTACCTTGAGCATGACCTTTAAATGGCCTTGACCATTACCTCGACCGTGACCTTGATCATAGCATTGATCTTAGCTACGACCATCATGTTGACAACGGCATTGACCATTACCTTGACCATAACATGATCATGACCTTGACAATGACTTAGATCATTACATTGTCTATGACCATGACATTGACCTTGACCTTGACCTTTTTCATTACCTTCACCATGACTATGATCATGCACTTGACTTTGATCACGACCTTGATCATGACAGTGAACTTGATCATGTCCTTGACCATGTCATTGACAATAACTTTGACAACGACCTTGATCACAGTCATGACCTGGACAATGACATTGACCATTATATTTACCATGATCTTGAATACAGCATTGACATTGACCTTGACCTTTACATTGACCACGGTCTTCAAGGTCATGTCAAATGTGTATGCCTGTATGCCTGTATGCTGTTCTCTGCAGTTTTTGGCATAAGTGGTTGCCTTACAAATAACATTTAAGATTGACGTGGCTTTAACCTCGGACCTGAAATTTCCATGATAAAGATATAGGGGTTGGGTGACCCCCAGAAATCTGACAACGGTGCTGTCGAAAACTGTTGCTAGAGTAAATTGCTTTCAATGTTTTTACTTGAGCTTAAAATTACCTTGAAGGTCATGGTTGTGGTCTAGGTCATATCCTGACGAAGAACTTCCCCCTCTTTCCGATTCCGATTCTGAAAAAGGGAGTTTTTGAAAATATTCCCTTGACATCAAAATGACCTCGAAGGTCGTAGTGAGGGTCATGGCCAAGGTCACCATCATTAGGCCCTCTCGAAACTCTACCACTCTTGCTTGAAACTTTTTTCGAAATATATATAGGTAGAGTAATTGAAATAGGACACGCTGTATAGTGGCATCCCACCTTCGAGATGTTTGTGGACAATATATTTTATATAAAAGTATACAATCCCGGCAGGCAGGAACATCATTTTGGTACAATGCATGCGCTATCTCCTTTAATAATCTTCACAAGTGAATGTTGCCTTACAAAATGCGAAAGCACTAATGTTTGAATATTTGCAGGTTTAGGATTTAGGCCTATGCCTCCAGAAAGCAACGTAGAAAGTACCTTAATTTGGTACAGAAGTAGCGATACGGGAAATGTACAGTACTGGCAAAGGGAAATCCTAAAATACCTCCAAAGTAAGTGATATCAATATCTTAAGTATTCTTTATTTTTAAATTGAAGGGTCTGCGTTATTCAATGCCGCTGGTCAAAGTGATCGCGAATACGAAATTTCCACTCTCTGGCTTTGTAAAACTTAAAATGAATTAAGGAACTCAATCAAACTTTTATCGGAAAAGCATTTCGCTGTATGATGTGCTTTGAAAGTCCAAGTTTGGGTTTTAAAAAAGCCGTAAAACAATAGCTTGATTAGTTGAGATGCAGTTCCCTAAGTTTGAAGTATATGGTAGAGGAAGAAAAAGAAATAATTGATTCCTGTAAATCTATAATCAACTTGATTTTTTTGGCAATGAGGTAGTCTTACATCAAGATTGAAACGATACTATGTTCACGAAATTTTATTGACAATTTATAAGAAAAAAATGAATGAGTTGGGCGACCCCGCAGCTGATTACACTCCTGTATACGTCTAGGCATCGACAAAATGAGATGATCGATGTCTGGTTGTGGCAGAGCCTGTGGCGGATGGTGCAAAGAGGATAGTCTCCTCCCGATCATATCCCACACATGTCCGGTAAACGGGGTGGTCGCGGCAAAACATTAACGCCTGCTTTTCGTCGCTGAAGATGACATCATGCCATTCTGCGTCCCAATTTTGCCGTTCTCTGCTCCAGTTCAAACGTTGACGCCTGACTTTGTCGCTCAGAGTAACCATCTGAAGTGCTATCTATCGGAGGATATTATCCGACCTTCACAATGTCATTCGATCTAAATCCAGAACCATCATTGTGGCTGAGGCTGATTGTGTGTAATAATTCACTGGACAACAAATTTTAGTTTTTTAATTGTATCTTGTGGGAAAAGTGCACTTCTTTGTTAATTTTGGGGCGCTGAATCCAAAAATGACAATGAAATAAAAAAATTAGTTGCGGTTTAGAGAAAATGCTTTTTATTTTTAAGGATATATTAAAAAAAGTAACAAGATTCATATACTTATAAGAATCACTATATGCGCTGTCTTTTTGCTGTTCTTTTATGGATCATTTCTGGAGCATCTCTACCAAGAGTCCAACAGTAGTCTGCAAGCATGGAAGGATTCCACTTTCCCTGGTACCTTTTTTCCATTGTTGAAATATCTTGATGAAAACGTTCGCCGTGCTCATCACTTACGGCTCCGAAATTGTCAGGAAAAAAGTCCAGGTGTGAGTGTAGGAAATGTATCTTAAGAGACATATTACAGCCCATCTTTTGATACGATGACAGCATATTTTTGACAAGGGTTTTATACTTGTCAGCTTTTCTATTTCCCAAGAAATTAGTGACCACCAGACGGAAATCATTCCAAGCAGTTTTTTCAATACCTGTTAAAGTGTTTTCAAACTGTGTATCTTTCAAAACATTTCGAATCTGTGGCCCAACAAAAATACCTTCTTTAACCTTTGCCTCACTTAGTCTTGGAAATTTCTGACGCAGGTATTGAAAAGCTGACCCATCTCTATCTAATTCCTTGACAAAGTTTTTCATTAGGCCCAACTTGATATGCAGTGGCGCTAATAAAATTTTTTTCGAATCTACTAATGGCATATGCTGTACATTTTTTTTGACCTGGCTCTAGGAATTGACGAACAGGCCAGTTTTGTCTGGTGTAATGAAGTGCCTTTGCCGGACTGTCCCATTCACATAAAAAACAGTAAAACTTTGTGTAGCCTAGCTGCAGCCCAAGTAAAAGTGCAACAACTTTCAAATCGTCACAAATATGCCATTGGTGCTCATCGTATTTTATGCATGTCAATAATTACTTCATATTGTCATATAATTCTTTCATGTGAACTGCATACCCTACAGGAAGAGATGGTAAAATATTTCCAATATGCAATAACACTGCCTTTAAACTCAATGTTGAACTGTCTATAAACAATCTCCTTTCTTCTGGGTTATAGTTTATATTTAAAGCCGCCAGTAAGCCGTTAATGTTACTGCAGAAAACCAAGTTATTCTCCATATTGAAAAATGGTTCTAAGTCTTTGTGGCGTTTACGAAAAACAAATACCGAAACATCGCCTTCTAACAAGTTCCACTGCTGCAGTCTTGATCCAAGTAACTCTACCTTACATTTTGGAAGTTCTAAACCTCTTACAAGATCATTTAATTCTGTCTGTGTTATTTTGTGCGGTTGGTGGCATGACGTGCTCGGTATAAAATCAGGATCTCTTGACGTTGATGGCATATCTTCTTCCTGACGAATCACTCGATCGCCATGATCTGATTCGTTTTCTGATTCGCAAGTGTAGGATTCTGGGGGTTTTGGAATAGGATTTTCGCCACTGTGAGGCACAGGTCTCATCGCAGATGGTATGTTTGGGTAGTTAATAACCGATTTTTTTTTCTTGGACATACCTGTGGCTTGTCCAACACAAGGTACCATGCAAAAGTAACAATCATTAATATGATTTGTAGGCTCTCTCCAAACCATTGGGACAGCAAAGCGCATACACCGTTCTTTGCCATTTAACCAGCTCCTCAGACTTGGAGCACATGTATTACAGCAGATGTGGGGTGCCCACTGTTTGTCTTGATCACCTAGTTTACAACCGAAATAAAGCTGATATGCCTTTGTTATTAGTGGAGTACCTAATAGACCGTCTCTGAGACGCAAAAGTCACATCACCACACACGTAACAAAACTGATCTGGATTGTTTACACACTTTCGAGACATCTTGCATGAACGCTGTCAGCCAACTGAGGAAAAAATAGCTAATAAAAAACAATATAATGTACACGTATGTATAACGTAACACAATCATGCCGATTACATCATCTTTCCTTGCCGAATATAAAAATGTAACACGTGCATTCTTGTGAATCACAGTATATTAACACTGTCACAGCAGGTACACATATAATTACCGTATCTCTAAAACTTGAACTAATATTGAAAAAATAAGTTTCATTCCGGTTTTAGCACATTAAAAATAGTAATATTTTGTTGGTTTTATTTAGGATATTTTTTGGCTGTTGATCAGTGTTATGGGAAATAAATAACTTTGACTCTGACTCCGCAGCTTACAAGAGGGAAAACAACCCTTACTACGACACGAACGTCGTCAACTGCGACAAGAACCCTCCAGAACCGGGTAAGGTGTGCGACTTCAAAGTTGAAGGATCGGACTGGTTCGCCTGCTCGGAACAGCAAGGTTTTGGATACAACCAGTCCACGGGTGGACCTTGTATAATTCTTAAGCTCAATAAGGTGAGAAATCTGTCAAATGTAAATTTCGTATATCATATAGGAAAATAGTTTTGACCAGAATGTTTGATTCCCTCTTCAATACGCTAAAGGGGAAGCAGATATGGAAATCTGGGATATGAAAACTATTTGTTAACAAGTTAGTTAAATTGTTACTATATACAGGGTGTCGGCAAAGTTGGGATTTTCCTATGTGTGGTGAAATGTGAGCGAACAAGTAAAAAAAACTCGCTGTTCAGTTGAATTGAAATTCCAAGTACGGCTCTGTGGTAGGATCCATATTTACATCGTAGCCGTACGTCGTATAACTGTCCGCTGGCGCCGGCGCTGTGGCCGTGATCGAGGGATAGGACAGGACCGGCTTCGGTTTGATTCAGGTTTGGTAGAGTTTGCGAAGCCCAATATCTCGGTTCTCTTAAGACGTTGGTGTAATGCTGCTAAGAAAATCCGCTTATTTTTTCAACATCTACACGTCGTGTAAAGGACAACCCCAACTTTGTTTATAGCGTACCTGTTTTATCTACATACAATGTCAAAGGAAAAAGTTCAACAGTTCATTTCTCTCTAACATTATATTTTTCTTTTACAGATTTATAATTGGGTACCTGACTATTATAATTCTACCAATCTTCCAAATCATATGCCAGAACATTTGAAAAATGACATCAGAGAAGCTGAAAGCAAGAACGAGGTAAGTGAGATTTTGTATAGTAAGAACAAAAATCGAGCAAAAAGCTTAATACAGGGTTTGACCGGAAAATAATAGAATAGAATAGAATAGAATATATATTACGTGCCAATAAACAAAACATTTGTTTTTACACTTGTCATAAAAATTATTGGTATGCATAACACATAAAAATAGCTTCTTGAAAACTATAATTGGTAAAAATAAAATAAAATATAATATAAAGGTGTAGTAGGCCAGATCACAAGCCATATTGGATGTGAGAGAAGATGAGGGAGTAATAAACACTAACAAGACATTCATTACTCAGGCAAGTTTTTAGTCTGCGTAGTAAGAATATGTTTGTGGCTAATTTGCTACATAGGGTTTCAATGTGCTTTGTCCATTTTAGTGAGCTAACAATTGTTATGCCAAGCAATTTTATACATTTGTTTTCTGCGAGAGAAGAGTTACTAGTTACTACTAGCCTGTTAGTTTTGTCTGAGTTTAGGCATAAGATATTCTGTTTAAACCAGTTGTTTGCCTTTTCTTCAAGCTGTTTAGATAAGCTTTGTAATATATGAAGGTTTTTGTAACTCTTTATAAGGGTGGTGTCGTCTGCGTACAATACACAAATATCTGGTAATAAGTAGCAATAAAGATCATTAATGTAAAGGGAAAAAAGTATTGGTCCAAGTATGGATCCCTGAGGGACACCATACTTTACACCTTTAATTTCTGAATGTTTATTATTACTGCTAACAATCTGAGATCTTCCAGTCAGATATGATCTAAAAAAGCACAGAGACACCCCACGAAAACCATAATAATGCTCCATTTTACACAGCAGCTTCTCATGATCCACACAGTCAAAGGCCACAAAGGGTAATTTGTACACTTCTTCCCCCTTCAAGGCCCTGGACTATGTGGTCAATAAGTTCCGCTAGTGCATTTATGGTTGACAGATCTGGCTGAAAACCAAATTGTTTCGGATTAATGATGTTATTTATTTTTAAAAATTTTAAAAGGCGGTGCTTTAAAATTATTTCTAAAATTTTGCCAAAGATAGGAATTATGGAAATGGGTCTAAAATTGTTTACATCAGATTGGTCACCTTTTTTAAAAACTGGTACTACCTTACTAATCTTAAAAACATCAGGGAATATTCCCTGAGAAAGACAGGAGTTATATAGATGAGCAAGTGGTGTGGCAAGTGTTTTATTACTTTGCTGTTTAGGTCATAAATATCAAGAGATTGCTTATTTTTTAATTCACCAATAGCATTCAAAACATCTAGATATGTAACAGGCTCCAGAAAAAAGGTTTTATTACACTTATTAAAATTTATGGTATTTAGCTCATTAATATTAAGATTAGGTAGGCTTTTTATTATATTTTTGGCGGCGGATACAAAAAAGTCGTTAAACATGTCCGATGTGATATCAGTTAATGTCATTGGTTTGGATTTATTTCTTTCAAAATTTACTAGCCTCCAACAGTCCCTATTTTTATTTTCCGATGAATGAAAAAAATTATTATATGCGCTATATCTAATTTTTTGTCTGTATTGTCTCTGAAAGGTTTTAAAGGCATTTTTTGACTGTTCGTCTTTTTGATGCTCCGATATTGTTTTTAGAACCTGAAGAGAGGACCTAGCAGTCTTAAGTTCACTATTAAACCATTTTACTGGCTGTCTCTGAAAATGTTGCTTTTGCTTTTGTAATGGAAAATATAAATCTTTAAGTTCATTTATTGATTCTACGAGAAAAGAAGAGAAACTAATCACATCATGATTGACATAATATTTTGTCCAATCTATGTTGGATAACGAGAGATTTAAATGATTTAGGCTAGCGTTTGTGATTTTCCTAGTATGGACAATATTTTCTTTTTTAATAGAGTTTAAATGTACAAGCATACTTTGGGCATAGTTCTGAGAGACAGGGATCTGTTAGAGAAACTGGATATTCAGACTCGTCTAAATTTGTCAAAATATTATCTATGCAAGTTGTACTTGTGTTGGTCACTCTCGTATAATCTATAATTGTTGTTTTTAATCCAAAAGTCTTTATTGAATACTTGAGGTCTTGCAATTGTAATGAATTGTTACAGAAGTCGGTATTAAAATCTCCAGCTATGACTATAATGTTATACTTAGGGCTGATATAAGTGAGTAATGCCTCAAAACCCTGAAGAAAATCGTAAAAACAAGATTTACCTGTCCGATATAATGTTATGAATATTGCTTTGTTTGTTACTAATTCTACAGCACAGCATTCCAATGACAGCTAGCATAAAAGAACTTCTAAGATCATCCAAAACAAAAATGGCAACACCCCCATGAGCATGATCTGACCTACAAAACCAAGAGCATAAATTAAAATTTGGTATATTAACCGTTTTTAGTTGATCCTCACACAACCAGTGTTCAGAGAGGCATAAACCTAAATAACAAGATAACTCGTCAATTTTATTTGATAAACATTGAATGTTTAAGTGAAAAACGCTAACTCTTTGAGCAATTTTACATATTTGGTTGTCAAGAACATTTAAAAAGAATGTTTAACATTATTATTGTCTATTATTTATATTATTATTATTGAGTCTATTTATAAAAATTTATTGAGCCAATCGTTACAATTCTTTAAGAACTTTCAAAATAGGCTCCTTCTGCGCCGATGCAGCGCTGCCAGCGCGATTTCCAAGCATTGAAGGCGTGCATGCTGCTTGGATCCCCTCTGTCGTCTCAAAATGCTTGTCTCTCATCGGCCTTTTCAGGAAACAAAAAAAAGTCCGGGGGGCCACATCTGGGCTGTAGGGCGGCTGCGCAAGCGGTGGGATGCCGGCCTTGGTCAGGTAGCTGTTCACAAGAAAGGCGGTGTGAGCCGGGGCGTTGTCTTGGTGCAACTTCCACAACATACGAGGGTTGTTTCAAAAATATGGTTCCCACACAAATAATTTTTCATTTGAAAAAACGAAATCACCATTGGAAGCTGTTTTTCTCCATACTCGCAATTTTTTTCTGCGCATTTTTTTAGACGTGAAATCCGCTTTTGCACCGTTGACCGCCTACAGTATATTCAGATAAGAGATAGACCGGATGTAAACAAAAGGTTCGGGTGATTTTCACGCTAACGCCGCCGTCTCGACGTAAAACAGGAGCCCTCATTGGTCAATTCGCAATTAAATGCCTATGCCGAGCGGCAGAGCAGTCGTATCAAGGCAGAGTCACATTCAGGTTCAGACGTGTTACGTACGTCGTGTACATCATTGCAATTTGATATTTCTTTGGACGTTTTCGTTTGTTATCTTATTAAGTTGTTGAGTTTGTCGTTGTTATTGTTATACCTTGTTATTGATTGTTATTGTTATCAACTGCTTGCGCAAAATGCCCAGTAGTACAGATACTGCCGATGAAGTTGTAAACTCCTGTAGTCCACCTAGGAAACGCTCTAAAAAAAGACACCTGAGTGCAGAAATGAAAGAGGTCATTTTGAATATATATAAGATCGAGCGCGAGGAGAACGAGGCATCAACCATCAAAGAAATTGTTGTGAAGGTTTCTCACAAAGTTGGGGTGTGTCGCGCATCAGTGTTTAATGTGTTAAGACAATACAAAAAAAATCACACCTTTTCTGAGCCAATGACCAGTAAACATCGCAAAAGTATTGTTAAATCATTGGATGAAGCTGATAAGCATGCGATTAGGAGGAAAGTGCACGAATTCTTCTTTAGGAATGAAATACCTGCTATAGATAAAGTACTGCAGGAGGTAAATGGAGATACAACGTTGCCAAACTTCAAACGATCAACTTTCCATGCGTTACTGAAGCATTTAAATTTCAAATGGAAAAAACGGGGTCGTAATAGTTTACTACTGGATAGAAAAGAAATTGTGCTATGGAGGAGGGATTATTTAACAAAAATTGGGAAATATAGAAATCAAAACAGGAAGATTTATTACCTTGATGAAACATGGGTAAACGCAGGACACACTACAAGTAAAGTATGGGTTGACGATTCTGTAACTTCATCCAGGAGGGCCTTTCTAGATGGACTGTCCACCGGATTAAAAAATCCAGCAGGTAAATACGAGTAATAGACAACAATCGGATGTTTTTCAAACCTTGGGAACAAGGTTCTAAACATTAATTCCAGGGGGCAGATAAAACATATTACAAGTAACAAAACTTTTATAACTTTCGATAAAATGCGTGGATGTTTTATTGTCATTTTCATTTGTTAGAACTTTTTTAAGCCATGTTTTTATGTGTTTTCGATATTTCAATAATTTTTTAATATAATCTTAAAATATGTCGAATATTATAAACTTAAAGAAAGTTACTAAGTTTTATATTGTGTACCGTTCCTAATATTTCTAATCATTTTAATTCATACTTTAAGATTTATAAAGTTATAATTTGTTAATATTAATATTTGCGCGTATTTCAGGTTCCTGATCATTCATTTTTTAGAGGTTTATAACTTTAAATTAAATTGTGAAGCGCTGAGTAGTCATACGACGTTCAATATTCTTTCTTTCAATATGACTAAATAATCCCAATTATAGCAATCTGATACTCATGTCTCAATGTTTTTTCGCTGAATGTGATGAAAACATTTGAAAAAGGTTCGCTTATTGAAATAAATCTACACCAGTTAGTACTTCGATTTCCAGGTAAAGGGAAAAGGCTCATTATCTGCCATATTGGCAGTGAGGATGGATTTGTTGTTGATGGTCTGTGGTGCTTTGAGTCTAAGAAAACTGGAGATTACCACGAGGAAATGAATGGCGAATCGTTTGAACAGTGGTTTTCAAAAATTTTACCGAACTTAGAGGAAAACGCAGTAATTGTGTTGGATAATGCGCCTTATCATTCTCGAAGAATGGAGAAGGTCCCAACAACGGCTTCAAGGAAAGTTGATGTTCAAAATTGGCTCCGCTCGAAAAATATCAACTTTGAAGAAGCAATGCTGAAAGTACAATTATTAAGAATTGTCAAGGATCACAAGGCGGAATATCAAAAATACGCCATTGACGAAATGGCAGCAAGTCAAAATAAAACTGCGCTCCGTTTACCTCCATACCATTGCGAGCTCAATCCCATTGAGCTCATATGGGCAGAGGTTAAAAATTATATAGCTAAGCACAATACAACTTTTAAATTTTGTGACCTCAAAGGACTTTTCAAAGAAGCACTAGAATTAATAACAGCGCAAAAATGGGAAAACTGTATTAAGCACGTGAAAGACAAAGTTGAAAAGAGAATGTGGGAACTGGACAATATTTTAGAGGAACAAGTCGAGCCATTCATTATTGACGTTGGTGCTTCAGGCAGTAGCGATGATGAAAGGTCATCAAGCTCATCTTTCCAATAAAAGATGTCGTTCATCAAATTCGGTAAGTTATAAGTAATTATAAAGCTACTGTATTTTTTAATTAATTATTGACATTTTTGAACCCATTTTGGCAAAACCTATTCAAGAATCTACTTTCTGACAATGTTCAACCATGCACATTTTTTACGTTGTGAACGTTTTAATTTGGTTACATATTTACCTAGAAATCAAAAAATATACTAATCAATATTCTAAAAGCAATTTTAAGAGATATACGATTATTTTTAATTTAGGCTAATTTAAACGCCATTTTGAGATTATATTCGACTGTATTTCACCAAACTTCAGAAGGCATCCGAAGCTGGAAATCGAAGCGAAAATTTTGAAACCCTTATGTATATTTACATCATTATATATTTCTTACCCCACCCCCACATTATCCTATATCCATCACCAATCGTATACACATCGAATTGTGCTAATTTACTACAAAGTTACGCAAAGCAGCATCTACTATCTAAAATATGTACTGCGTGACTCTTAATACGTCCCTGCCGAATGTTACAGCGTTCGATGATCACGTGGTCTTGTTTATGTCCGGTCTATCTCTTATCTGAATATACTGTAGGTGCTCCTTCAATTTCGGACACGATATGTCGGAGCTGTAAGGGGGACGAGCCATTAATTCCCAGTCAAATCGCGTGACGGCGATCACGGGCTTTATTGCGCATGACTACCAGACCGGTACTGAGCGTCTCCAATAGGCGCTTCTTGTTCGGATCGGTGGTGGGGTACCGCCAAACACGACGGTGTTGCCAGATCTCGCCCAGCATCACGTTAAAGTTACCTTATTTATTATTATTACAGTATGTTTCGCTGTTACAATACTTCTATTTTTGCATTATTCACAGCATCGAATGGTCTGGATAACCTGCGAGGGTGAGAATCCTGCCGATAAAGAAAACATCGGCCCCATCCATTATATTCCGAAGAAAGGATTCCAGCCACAATTTTTCCCGTTCAGGAACCAAGATGGATACATGAGTCCGCTGGTGGCAATTCACTTCGAAAATCCGAGACGTAAGTATCCGATACATAGTTAAAAGGTACTTGCAACGAAAAATTGAATCGCCTGACGAAAATCGCGGCGAAAAACTGACATAAAAGCAGAGCCACACGGGACAGTTCCGATAAATGGCCCAGTTTGCCTCTAGGGCATCCAAATTGTGATACAAAAAACGTAGGACGTCAAGTTTTGATGCCAGTTGCGTTGTTAGTTTTAGTGTCGAAAAAGAAAGCCAAAAGCCAAAAGTTGTCGGGCCTCAAATTTTTACATTTTTATTAAATCATTGATTTCTGAAATAACAAAGGGTACTCCATTGCATCTCGCAGGTAGCGTCCTGATCAACATCGAATGCAAGGCCTGGGCTAGGAACATCCACCACGACCGCGTAGACAGAAGAGGCTCGGTCCATTTCGAGCTGATGATCGATTAAGTGCGGCCGATCGTTGCGCGCGGCTCCAACAACTGCCATCAAACAATAGTCCGGGTGCTGCTGCTAAAGATGGAGGTTACAGACGAACTTTCAGTCGTTACCGTCGGCGGAACGTACTCTCGCATCACGGGCCAATCAAACTCTCCGTTTTATCAGTTTCACCAATCAAATCATCTCACGTCGCATCGACACGCTAGCTCTGTCTAGCCGGCAAACTGTAAGGTCGCTGGGTCGAACGATGGTGATCGAGATCGGTTAAGCCACGTCTACACTTTGTTATCTAGGCGTTATTTGTGTTGGAGTGTCTGTTTCAAGTTAAAATGCCAGTTTCTTTTAGAATGTCTCAGGAAAGTTGTTAGTAATATAGATATTGACACGGTCCGGTTTGAAAATCTGCATTACGCGTTAGGGAAAGAGCCTTGCGCCCTAATAATGAGTTAGCACAGTTTATGGTTTGATATTTGATTGGGATGCTCTAGTTCTTGAAAATTATAGGCCAGTCGTTTTAAGGCTGCTATCTTGATTTCACGTTAAGTAAAAGTCTACAATGTCACTAAATGAACTCAACGAAGGGTTTGATTGACCCGTGTGATAGAAAGACGGCGGTCTAGGTAGATTTTAGTTTCAAAAATTAGTTGACAGACCCTAGCAGTTTGGAATTTTAACTCTGCCATTTCACTGTTAGATAAAGTAATTAAGTAAAATATGAGTTCATAGGTCGCTTTTGGCCACGATCGTGTCGTTTATCAGTGGTCAGTGACGTCACAAAGTTAGGATCGCACGAAAAAGGAACAGAAACGGAAGTGATCTTAGTAACTAACCGAATCCCTTTCAACCTCATGAATGCTGAAGTGTTTGCTCGTCTGTCATTATCTGTAGCCGAGATTGAGCAGTTGATAGGGGAACGTAGATGTGACGTCACTGCGCGTATACATATATATGTAATTAAAACCGTTCACGCGTTTTTCATTTCGTACTGCTGGAATATCGCGCATCACAATAAAGAAGAATATTATTATTGTTGTTACTCAAATAAACTGTATACTGTATGAAATATTTTTCGGGCCGGTCCTCTCAACTTGAGGGGACATGTCCTCTTCGTGTTGTGATAGAGGGAGAATGTGTTATATTGTGAGGGATAACGTATTTTGTACGTACTCCATTTTCTTACGAAATCCTGAATCCGATATGCCCCCCAAGCTACAAAATCTCTGAGGAGTTATTCTGGTCAACGTTATAGTTGGCATTGCAACGATTTTCTGAAATATTTTCCCATTCCACGAAGAAATCATGAATGTAAGAAATTAAAGAATCAGTGACAGAATATATGATAATATTTTGACAATAAGACACCTGTTAGTAAGCATAGAATAATGAAATTAAAAGTATGGAACTAAATGAAAAAACAAATTAGTGGAGCTTCATTTTGGTTGTCAGAAAGCAGAACATTTACCAATAAAGAAAGTAGGTCACTTAAGGCATATGCTTAAATACAAACACACTTAAAAATTGGAGACGTTACAAATTAATTTATCTCTCATTTTTTTGTAAATATGGTTTTGTTATCATGGTGGCTATTTACGTTAATACTGCAAAAGTTTTCGTAGAATGTTAAATAAAGAACGAATGTCACTATTTACTTTTGTTTTGATGTATTAAGCTACGAAAATCTAAAACGAGTATTACGTCGATATGTCACCAAGGCAGGGTGTCCGAAATGTTTCCCGTATAAAACTACTTTGTCCAAAAGCATTGCTTGGCTCTTACATAACTTTTGGAAGTGCCTCCTTGAAGACTAGTTTTCATCTATTTCAAAAAATATCATTTCTCACTGAATCTTTGAAATGTTATCTTGACCATTGGAATTTTATGAAGTAAAGTTGATAATAACGAATATTTTGTTACAAGTTGGAGCATAGGACACTCTGTGTACATATATATTTTAGATTTAAATAGGAAACTTCATGTGTCTTTTTTTCCTCTAGCGGTAAGCAGTAAATTTATTTTAAAAATAATTTTAACAGAATAATTCTATAAAGATCAACCCTACGTGTTAAGCACTGTTACATATGCTATATAGTTCTGACGCAGAACAGTGAGTAAAAGTATGCAAAAAATTAAATAAAATATTGTTATAAATAGACTACTTACATAAGTGTTACCTGTAATTTAGAGTCTAGAAATACTTAATATCTATTGATTAGATAAACCAAGATCAGAATTAAGATTTTTAATGAATAAATGCAATCCCCGTTTGAAAAAAGTATTTTGCATATCAGATGGGTCAGTCACAAAAGGTATTTCAGAAAATATAACAAACTTGTTTGAATTTGAAACTTGTTGTCGTACTCTTGTAAGATTTGAGGAAAACAAGTTCAAAAATCAAGAAAAGGTCAAAGTGTGACAGCAAAGAGATCCTTAATTTATGGAGTACGCTATCAAGTGAGGTCTCCCGCATGAACATTGGAAATAAGTAGGTTATATTTTGCGAAAATACGTCAAATATAACCAATACCATTGAAAAAGGGAGTATGTTGATATTTCTTAACATACGCACAATTTTCTGATAAAATTACAATATCATAATTTGATTAAAAGTGGATAGATGTGACATATATGTTCAAAATTGAAGTGGATTGTAGAAGTGCTTATCGAAAAACCCTTGTAAATAAGAAATTCAACATTGTCCCTACGTTATCTGTATCTGACCCAAAATGAGTGAAATTTCCATCTCTTTAAAACCTTTTCAAAATAACAATATACTTGGTACGAGAACCAACCATAATTCAAAGTTGCCCATTCTTAGAAAATACATACGATTCGAAAATAACTGTTGCCGTCAACATCAAGTCATAAAAGTACTTACTGATCATGGTGATAGAGAGAGTATATCTTGACGAATGGGTTACACAAAAATCTAAGGCAAAAATAGCAAAGCTCCTACAAGGGGAAACAGTTTTTGGTTTTGCCTAGATAGTAACGTTGCATGACTTGTGAAAATATTCTAGTAATTACTTTTATGGTTTTAGAATTGATTAGCGTGTTCCAGATGAAGGTATCCAGCCACATACTGAAGTCAAGCGCCTGAAAAAGGAGTATGAAAGCCCCTATCGTCATCTATGAGACATCAGCATAACACATCTGTGAATTTAGAAATCTACTTGGAAAGGGGTTAAGTGTTTGATTCTGCTACTGTCTCATAGACAGTGGTAGAGTCTTCAATCCCGTTTTGGTGCCTGTCTAATAATTTCAATTGCGTATTTCCAGGCATTGACTAACCTGAATAACAAATTCAAATAGGCATCAGACAAATCCTAGCGCTATCTATGAAATAGTAGTAGAACTAAACACTGACTGTTTTTTGAAAGTAGATTCCTAAATTCGGTTTTGTGCTCTGTTACGTTCTAGACGCTAGGATCTTTCATGCCAATTTTTAGGCACCGGAATGCAGTTTATGGTTGGATAGCTTTAGGTAAAATGCGTTATTCAAGGAGTTTAGATGATTTCGTTTTGCTTCTTATAAGCGCCTAGAACAATACGTCACGGTAGAATAGTGTTTTCTTTTCAACCAATATATTGGACAATTGCATTTACGAAGGCAAAGCTGGTGTTTTCAATGGTATTTTCTTTCGCTAAGCAAGTTACTGTCACATTGTTGTTCCGCAATGTAATATATACGAAAGTGATTATATTAGTTCGTAATGATCTTAAATGAATATATTTCAATGGTCTAATGGTCGGGCACAGTCTGTCTTAAAAAAATGTGCATCTAAATGCACTTTTTTAAATAATAATTTGAGTACCTACATGCTTTAATATAATTTTTTTAAAAAAGTAAATAGCGGTTCTAACACAAATCTGTTTTATTTCTCCCTTCCTGAAGTAGCTCTATCTTGTGTCTAAGAAAATGGAACATCCAGTAAAAATGTTTATTTATTTTTTAATTGAGATGAGCAGAGTACACAGTACTATAAGCTCATGCAGTAAATATAGTGTACGGACACGTAACACAAATACATCAAATAGAAAAAAATAAAAAAAGACAGTTCATAGCTATAAAGTTTGTACACTCCTCCAGCTATCATACTGCACTTTGAAGCTATTAACTGAAGTAGCACCAACCACACTTTCAGGTAAACTATTCGGACTGTTGTTTTAAATGGCTCCTTATTTGAATATGCGGTTGGGAAGACTCGGACTGTTGTTTTAAATGGCTCCTTATGCAGTTTGAAGCTGTGTCCGCGTAGATTGCTGCGCGACAGACGGTATAGATGCATGAGGTTGGTGCCCATCAAACCATGAAGTATCCTGAACGTAACTATAAGATCGCCACGAAGTCTTCGCTCAGAGAATGAGGTCAGGTTGAATAATTCAAGGCGATCTTCATAGCTTGGTCTTCGTGCTCCAAAAGGGATACGAGTAGCCCGACGCTGTACTGATTCGACGAGATTTCTATCGCGCAGAAGCACAGTGTCCCATACCGGGCCAGCGAATTCAAGAATTGGCCTCACGAATGCCTTGTAAATGTAGGCGCAAGTGTTGACATCGGATCCTTTGAAAGACCTCTCCAGCATGTATAGAAGTTTCTTGGCTTTTGATGTAACGTGATGAATATGCTCTGACCAGGAAAGACGATCGTTGACTACAACGCCCAGATCAGTGTGGCTGGAAACTGCTTCGATGTTGTGGTCAGAGATCTTGTATGTAAATCGCGGATTTGTCTTCCCGAGGTGAAGGACACAACACTTAGTTAGATTTAAGGGTAAAAGCCAACTGACTGACCATTGACAAACAATATCAAGATGTCGTTATTGCAGCTAAAATTTTAAGAAAATATCTATTAACGAAATCTAGCTATACCGCAAGTGTTCACTTTACAATTTATTCACGACTTCCTCTCACTTATCGAATCTATACAAACGACATTCAAATAAAAACATTTTACTTGGTCTTTTATTTTCTTTCTCAATGAATATATTTGAAATCTTGTATTTCAACATATGCCTGATGCCAATCTGCTTTAACCAGGTTTCAGCTATGACAGAAAAGTAATGAAAGATGTTTTCATAATTTTATTTTTTACATAATGATAATGCTAAAATACATCCATACGTATAAAGTACCTTACAGAAAATTATAACATAGGTACTGTGAACATTGAAAAAATAAATAAGTGTACAAAATATTTTACAAACTGAAAATTACAACTACCTAGTAAGTACAGTAGATGACAGCATACCTAACTATTTTAGGATGAATTTTTGAAAGTTTACAACAAAAAATGGGGAATGCAATCTCATACTGACATTAATTGTACTATGTGCTTAAATTGCACAATAACAACTTATAGATAAATGTTGCACTCTGACCAAAATATCACAATTTCTACGAAGTGTAGGAAAAAGTCGTTTCTAAGATAGCAATGGGCAGTGTCTTGTAGCAAGATCAAGATCTGATAAAAAATATAAAACGTATATAATTATTAAAGAATTTCATAATATGGACCAATGAGCTTACATAATTGAAAGCTGTAGATGTACTCAAGCGTGTTTCACACTGGAGGGATTCATCAACAACATCCTTGAAATACAAACTTTGAATTGAGTCACTTCAAATCTCATTTTGTTTTTCTTCTTCAAAAACAAATTTGTAGGAAATACATAGGATGTAAAAAAACGCAATAAGGTCACACGAAGCCATATTTTTCTACAACATCATCATAAAATGACGTTACTATGACGCAACTATGAGTGTTGTAATGCATAATCTTAAAAATCGCATACACATAAAAAGACTCGGGTGTGAACCATGCTTAAGGTACCTCCACAGACCTTAAAATTGCCCGCCTAGAGTGCAACATTCTCCACCGAATCGTATCTACAATCTGATTCCCCTATTTGTCGACGCAACGTAATTCAACAATTCATCGGAATCTTCGCAAACGAAAGGTTTCTCGTGATAACAAGCCACGTCGTGCCAAGCGATTCCGTCATTGTATACGTTGTTGAGGATAGAAAGGCAAGATTCGCTGGTGCCGTTGATGTCAAACTCAGCGTTGTCAGGTTGTCTTTGCTTCTTGTGGCCTGTTTGGGACCAGGGGTTGAAGGAAAAGCCAGCTGGTGCACGATTGGTGGGTTGGATCTTCTCCCTGTTCGCTGACCAGAACCAACCGAAGATGTTCTTTGGCTCGAGGTCAGGTCGGTTTTCGCAGCCTTTGAAATCGCACAGGCGGCCTGAGGTCCAGATGTATGGCACGTCGTCTGGAAAAAACACAGCAACGTTAAATAGTGAAGAGGATGACTGATTAAAACTCTGTCGATGCTTTCAAAGTAGATTCAAAAACTCGTTTTCTCGTTTATTCTTCTCATTTTTTTCAACGTGTTGTAGCCAGAATGTAAACCTTGCAAGCGCATGTAAAATTTGAAGCAAAATCCCCTAAATCCGAAGTGGTTTTTAAAAAACTATATCTAAGACAATTTCTTTGTCTTTCAACATAGTATTGAAGTCAGGTTTTCTCTCGAACAAAGTCTCAAACATTTTGTTACCACCTATCAATTACTGTATATAAGAACCCTATTTTCCGATTTTGTGGCTAGTAGCAAACGTCCTAAAAAAGTCCTGCAGTGGCTCAAGTATCCCTATTTAGTCATTTTCATCCGCTAATGTGTATGCCCGTTGAATCTTTTTACACCTACATACGAAATAATGATAATTAAACAATATAAACACGTCTAATTGAACTTAATCACCATGACACTCAGATTATTCCCATCGCGAATATGGCATTTCAGCAGCCACTGAAGACTAAGAGATGTTGCCTAATCGCAGATAATGATACGTCTCTCGTGAACGAAATATCAAGAAGGCTGTTCAGACGTCGGATTGCGAAGAAATTGTTTTCGACAAGGTTTTACGATTATTCTAAAATTGATGGTTCTGGCGTTAAATACAATAAAGAGGTGCTGCGAATCAAAATGCCACTGCTTCCATCGCGATTTTATACAACGTGACTCACAAGACGATTTGAAATTACTAGAACAGAAGAAATATCCATAAATACAGGGTGTCCCGAAAAAAGTGTGCAATATTCTACCAGCGATATCTAGAGCTTAAAATAGGAAGAAAATTTTATATAAACATAGGTCGACAAACGCGCTTCGGTCTTTTAAAGGGGCTGCCCTGAAGATGGTTTTTCCTTAATATTTCCGAAACGTGTTGAGATAAAGACATAAACTTTGGTATTCTAGCCTAGTTTTTTATGCTGGATTTAAAAATATTAACAATTTTAGACAGTTTGTTTGGAAGCGTATGAAACAGGGATGGACTCAGGTTATTTGAGCCCCAAAATTTTTGTGTGATTCTATCTTTGAAATTCAATTTTAGAATTTGAAAATTTTTGTTTTCTACATAAAAAAGGTACTCTTATTGAATATCGATAAATTGTGCCATTTTTGAATAAAATCAAACTAAAAAATGTGTCACATGATAGGGAATGTACTGCGAATTTAAATGAATTGTTGAATAATTAGCCATGGCAACGAAAAAACTAATTTAATAATTGGTAAGTATTACATAAATACATATTTCTATTGCATCATAGCTCACATTTAGGCAAAAAACAAAAGAAATAAATTTTTTCAATGTCAGCTTAACGTCAAAATAAGTCATAACAAATCAAAACAGCTTTTGTTTGCAGTCATGGCTAACTATGTATAATCAACAATTCATTTAAATTCGCAGTACATTTCCTATCATATGACAAATTTTTTAGTTTGATTTTATTCAAAAATGGCATAATTTATCGATATTTAATAAGAGTACCTTTTTTATGTAGAAAACCCTAAATTTTCAAATTCTAAAATTGAATTGCAAAAATAGAATCACACAAGAATTTTGGGGCTAAAATAACCTGAGTCCGTTCCTGTCACATACGGTTCCAAACAAAACTGTCTAAAATTGTTAATAGTTTTAAATCTAGCATAAAAAACTAGGCTAGACTACCAAATGCTATGTCTTTATCTAAACACGTTTCGGAAATATTAAAGAAAAACCATCTTCAGAGGAGCCCCTTTAAAATACCGTAGCGCGCTTAGGGGACGTTTGCCGACCTATGTTTATTTAAAATTTTCTTCCTATTTTAAGCTCTAGAAACCGCTGGTAGAATATTGCACTTTTTCCGGGATACAGGGTTAATAATAACCTTACTATAATATGAGAGCGCTGACGCTGACACGGAACAGTTGAAATCTAGAAATACCCAGCCTTTCTGAAGGAGAAAGAAGACTATTGAAATCAAGGAGGCCGTAAAGGCATCGTACAATTCTAGGAACGACTGATAATACGGGCCCAAAAGACCTTCTGGTAACGTCACTGTGCATCTGTGCACACATATTGCGAAGCACCAATGCGAAAAGTTCGCCTAATGAGGGTCGTGTAATGTCAGCCGAGCTGGCAGAGCCTACTATGTGATGATCGCACTTCGTTAATTGCCGATGATGATAGAAACTGAGCAACAAGTACAGTGCGCGAAAATTACGTTCTTACAAAGGTCAGCCTCCCATTATGATGTTCACAGTGTGTAGATTCGGAATTTAGATAATATTCTTCATGTTATTATTACTGTTTCCTGCTGGAATTTGACAAATTAACGAGGAATTAACAGGTCCTTGAAGCTTGGAAAAATATGATATAATGTTATCTTAACAAAAAGCGGCGTCAAGCAGATTGACTCTCCGCTTTCCACGGAATACTATCATCAGTTCACAAAGTTCTTGCAACATTTATGGTATCAGAAGAGGTCTCTATATAGTTCTGACGCAGAACAGTGAGTAAAAGTATGCAAAAAATTAAATAAAATATTGTTATAAATAGACTACTTACATAAGTGTTACCTGTAATTTAGAGTCTAGAAATACTTAATATGTATTGACTAGATAAACCAAGATCAGAATTAAGATTTTTAATGAATAAATGCAATCCCCGTTTGAAAAAAGGTCTTACAAAGGTCAGCCTCCCATTATGATGTTCACAGTGTGTAGATTCGGAATTTAGATAATATTCTTGCTTGTTATTATTAGTGTTTCCTGCTGGAATTTGACAAATTAATGAGGAATTAACAGGTCCTTGAAGCTTGGAAAAATATGATATAATGTTGTCTTAACAAAAAGCGGCGTCAAGCAGATTGACTCTCCGCTTTCCACGGAATACGATCATCAGTTCACAAAGTTCTTGCAACATTTATGGTATCAGAAGAGGTCTCTGTCTTATCTCTGTTTGACGACGACGTAGAAGAGGAAGCTAAAGTAAAAATTGTTGCTAACGGGGCCTTCAAGTATTACGTGAGCACTGTGGGGGGGTGGGGGGGGAAACGCATTTTCGGGGATTCCCGCAAATAATGCATACGTTTAGTGAACAGCGAGCGGTAATTCCCCTACTCGCTTTAGAACCGAGTAGGGGAATTACCGCGCGGTGTTCACTTGTCTAAATTTCCTTTATCAGTGTATTGTTTGGTTTGGATACTATAGCGAGTAGACGTATTGTAAGCATAGTAAAGCAAGTTAACATTTGGGTTACCATTGATTCCATTAGCCAAAGTTTGACGTTTAAATAAGATGTCGTTTCACATAGACAAATCCAAGTTATACCAAAAATTGTTTGAAAGTTTTAAAAAATCTCAAGTACGAAAGTACAAAATATACAAAAGCTAGTTAACGAAGTGTGGCGAAATTACAAATTACAAGCAAAATCCGACAAGGAACTAGATATTATTGTATCTAAGAGAATCGAAGAAGAATTGCAAGCGGCGACTAAGAATAAATCCAATAAATCCAATCTACTAGTGGTCTGTTTAGATTACTAGACAATATGTTTCTTCCACCACCTGTAAAAGTAAAACAAACAGTTGATGACTTGGTTTTGGATGAAGTAGGGCAATTTCTTAATCTTCCAGTCAATTTAGCTCTACGCTTAAGTGCTTCATTGAAAGACTTCCTGCAACATGAACGCGCTATATCCACGAAGTTCTAGAACTCCATCTTTTACCCTATCTTGACACCCTGGCAGATCCAACTTTCCAACAAGATAACGCCCGACCACATGTTGCAAGAGTCACAATATACTTCTTTCAACATAATGATGTCACATTGTTACCATGGCCACCAAGATCTCCCGACTTATCCCCATTTGAGCACCTGTGGGATATGATGGGTAGGAGATTGCTCAATTTGCAACGTCCTCCTCAGACTCTAGAAGCACTTCGAGAGGAGTTGGTGGTTGCCTGGAATGAGATACCACAGGAGGACAGTGACCACCTGATCAGAAGCATGCCTAGGCGCGTTGGAGAATGCGTAGCACATCAGGGTGCATCCACACATTAAAGGTCAAAGGGCTTTAAAGCAGTGCAATCATTTTGAAATTTTTATTATTTACTTATTATGCTTCATTAAGTACTTATACAAAATTTTATTAAAATAAAACCATTTAAGCTGGGTGTTCGGATTTATATGTCACTTAGTATATGATAACTGTTAAGATAACCCAAAATAAGATTTACGTTCAGAAATAGAGTTTCTCTGATTCCATTGAAAAATGATTCTTACTTAAAAAAATGGCCTTCGAATATTCGCAGTGACTAACACGCCTAAACGAAAACGGTAGTTCTGCAACAGCTGTTGTACATCACCAATTTTTTTTAACATCTCAATTACTACTTAGTCACACCTTATACGGACAGCGATCCGTTTTTTCTGTTGATTTTTTCATGAAATTCCCACACTACACAGTATAACGATGACTAGTAAACAACGCGCGTATAAGACATTATGCAAGATTATTATCTATTTTCACAAAGGAACATCTGTATTATCTAAGAATACTGTTCATTCTCATGCGGTACTAGCGACATGCGGTTGATGATGGGTGATTTTTCATCATATGTGAAATTTATAGGCCAGGAAATATACGATTTATTCGTACAATTTTGAAGATATACTAAGTGACATATAAATCCGAACACGCAGTTTAAATGGTTTTATTTTAATAAAAGTTGGTGAATGTATTTATCTTACTGTAAATAACAAGTGAAACAATTTTCAGCCTTATCAGTTGGACATTCCGGTTTTTATACTTCTTTTTTTTAATTCACTAATGCTCTAAAAATGAATATTTCAGCCGCAGTAAAGAATCAACGTTGGCGGATTTTGGTTCTTGACATCCGTTACGATCGGTTACGATGCCTAGAGTACGGAGACCTGTACGATTTCGTCAACTTAGTGAGTTTGATAGGGGCCGTATAGTGGGACTCCGGGAAGCTTTCGGGCAATTGCAGTTAGAGTGCAAAGAAGTGTAGACACTGTGGTTAGGTGTTGTCAGGCATGGCTTCGAGAAGGCCGTACGCAAAGAGCAAGGGGCACTGGACGCCGCCGTAGAACAACAGACCGTGAAGATCGCCGCCTAAGATTATTGGCCTTAAGGGACCGTTTCTCCACTACCAGGTCCATTGCAAATGAATGCTTTGCAGAACACGGAAGACCTATTGGCATGCGAAGTGTTTACCGACGAATGAGAAGTTTTGGCTTGTTTTCATACTGACCACACTGGGTCCTCCCTTTAACTCGAGAACACCGACGTAATCGCCTTGAGTGGTGCAGACAACGGTCACTCTGGGATCAGGAATGGAACAGTATTGTCTTTAGTGACGAGTCTCGATTTTGTTTAGGCATGCACGATGGTCGTGCCAGGGTTAGAAGGTGACGTGGTGAAAGGAGGAGTCCACAGTTTTTTGTTGAAAGACATGTTCATCACACTGTTGGAGTTATGGTTTGGGGTTCTATAGCTTATGGTTCAGAGGTAACATGAACGCGCAGCGTTATATCCACGAAGTTCTAGAACCCCATCTTTTACCCTATCTTGACACCCTGGCAGATCCAACTTTCCAACAAGATAATGCCCGACCACATGTTGCAAGAGTCACAATAGACTTCTTTCAACAATAATGATGTCACATTGTTACCATGGCCACCAAGATCTCCCGACTTATCCCCAATTGAGCACGTGTGGGATATGATGGGTAGGAGATTGCTCAATTTGCAACGTCCTCCTCAGACTCTAGAAGCACTTCGGGAGGAGTTGGTGGTTGCCTGGAATGAGATACCACAGGAGGACATTGACCACCTGATCAGAAGCATGCCTAGGCGCGTTGGAGAATGCGTAGCACATCAGGGTGCATCCACACATTATTAAAGGTCAAAGGGCTTTAAAGCAGTGCAATCATTTTGAAATTTTTATCATTTACTTATTATGCTTCATTAAGTACTTGTACAAAATTTTATTAAAATAAAACCATTTAAACTGGGTGTTCGGATTTATACGTCACTTAGTATAGTCTTTGTGGTATCGTTAGAATATTGCTTCCTAATGTTAGGGTCGGAGCTTTTGCCGCAGTTTGGATAAACGCGTTTGATCAAATAAACTAGAAAACAACTGATCCAATGAAAAAGATAATAGAAACAATTTTGTAGGAAATTGAATTCAGTTATGAGAAATTAACGGGTAAAGTTTCTAACTACGTAACTAGCAAAAGATTACCCGACCGACAAACCGACCAACCAAAATTTTTTTAGACGACTGCAGCAGGCTGTGCTGGCATTATTTCGATTTTGTTTACCTGAAGTAGCCCAACATATTTCACCTATATACCATAGCAGGTTAGATGTAGAAAGTTGCAGAAAATTTCAAATTGTTCAAAATTCGTGCGTTAGGTTTATTCGTCGCATTAGAAAATATGATCGTAAATTTTTTTAGAAACTAAATAGATCAGTGTGAGAAACAGATTCTGGCTCAAACTGATCACCACGAGAGCCACTTAGATAGCAAGTTCGCTGAAACATCAATCCATTATTTAGAGAACATAGCATCCATACTTGGACCAGATCAAGTATTTTTCATATCTCAAGATGATCGAGTCCCTATTGGCGTAACTGCGGCAAATAAGCAAGCACCTCTTCTAATGCACATGGAATATAGAATCAAATTGCCTGATCACGATTGGGTAATCGCTGAGCATCATAAATTAATACCATCTGTTTATGCTGGTATCAAAATCACTTCCAATATGCTAGGACAACCGCAAGCCGTTGAATATTCTGGACCAACATACATCGCTATTCGAAGTGGAAAGCATAGTTCATCTCATGCTCAGGATTTCGGGACGCTTCTCGAACTTGAAGAGTTTCGACCATTAGCTAAAACTGACCATGGACTAGTAAAACCAGTGGTAATCATGACGGTTGATGGAGGACCAGATGAAAATCCACGTTATCAAAAAGTCATAGGGTTTGCTATACAACACTTTAAGCGACATGATCTCGATGCATTGTTTTTAGCTACCAATGCTCCTGGAAGAAGTGCGTATAACAGAGTAGAGCGCAGAATGGCTCCTCTTAGTCGGGAACTGGCTGGTTTAATATTGCCTCATGACCATTTTGGGTGCTTGCTTCAAATTGTAAAATGTAGAAATACAGAATGCTGTCTGGTCTATTTAGATTACTAGACAATAGATTTCTTCCACCACCTGTAAAAGTAAAACAAACAGTTGATGACTTGGTTTTGGATGAAGGAGGGCAATTTCTTAATCTTCCAGTCAATTTGGCTCTACGCTTAAGTGCTTCACTCTAAGATTTCCTGCAAATGCCCTACGATTATTTTTATCCGACGGTAAAATTGAGGCAATCAAGTCGAACATGCAAAACGTGTGGCCTTTGTCATGCTTCCGTCCAGTCACTAAATCGTCACATCGAAAATATCCATAAAAAAGTAAACACGCACACTGATGGGAAAGTTAGACCTGTAAGAGTCGCTGCTCGTCGTGCTAATGAACTGATGTGCATTATTCAAAATTTAGAGCACCATGATGTTGAATGGCACGATGAGAACGACGGAGACATTCCAAAATCCGATGAAAGCGAGCAAACTCACAACACTGAGCAGCAATCGAAGCAATCCAATGTGATCGAAGACTTAGAATCATGGATTCGGGTTTTATGGACTGAAGACTGTTAATTTTAATTTAATATATGTACCAAAAATTTAAAATAAGTTTGTTATGTTAGCAAGATATAATATTTTTGTCCTTTACTCTATATTGAATACCGTATCAGTAAAATATAATCTCTATCCTAAATTTGACGAACAAAAAGCGCCCTAGCGCTCATGCAGTTTCGATAGACGGTAGAGTTCTACCAAAGAGCCATTCATTTCGGCTGGTCGGAGTCCAGATCACTGAGGACCTGATCTGGCACGAACACATCTCTTCAATAGCTGCAGCTGCTGGGAAAAGGCTAGGCTATTTGTTTAGGGCTAAGAAGTACTTTTCTCCGCATGACCTTCTCACTCTATACAAGGCCCAGATAAGGCCTAGCCTCGAGTATTGCTCACACATTTGGGGTGCTGCCGCCCCGACTACATTGTCCATGCTCGATGCTGTCCAGAGGAGGGCGGTCCGACTGATCGATGACTCTTCTCTAACAGACAGTCTCGGGACTTTTTCGCACCGGCGGGCGGTCGGCGATCTAGCTCTTTTCTATCGCTACACCAACGGGCTTTGCTCCTCAGAGCTCTCTTCCATGATGCCGCCGCGCGATGTGCCTTCCAGACAGACCCGCCTGACTTCGGCGTCCCATCCTAACCGTGTCAAACTTTGTACATCCAGAACTGGCCGATACGACCGCTCCTTTGTCCCTAGGGTGTCTAGATTGTGGAACAATCTACGGGAGGAAGCTTTTCCCAGTTCTACTAACCTTAGGCAGTTCAAAAATCGTATTAACAAAATTTCTTTGGGATCATCATAGCAGCCGCGGTGTTCCGGCATTTAGGCTTCTGCCTGCGCGGCTGTTTCGATATAAAAAAAAAAAAAAAAAAATCTATTTTCTTATTTTTCAAATTATAATTATAACGTTATAATTATAATATTAAAAAAAACGATACATTAATTGACTAATGTTTACGTAAGCATGGGGGGAGGGGGTAAGAGCTTTGCTTACTTTTCCTGACAAGGGGGATGGGGGGTAAATAATTGTAATAAATCTGCTTACGTAATACTTGAACGACCCCACAGGGGTTGGGTTAAGAGTAGCTAAACATCGCCTCACTGTTGTGATTCTAATAAAGACATTTTATCATTATTATTTCAATATTTCACAATACCTCCTCGCCAATAGCGTAGGAAGTAGAAAGTAGCTCGGTCGGGTCTGGTTGTCCAAATACGAAACCAAATCTGGGGGGAAGGAGTGAATAAGAATACAAAGAAGAAAGGAAGTAAAGAGAATGAAGGGATTAGAGCCATTGTTATCTAGGATGTAAAAAAAAGTACTTACTTTGTTGAATCAGTCTGAAGATCATATTGTTCTCCTCCTGGGTCTCCATCGAGACGAGATCCATGCAGTATTCCCTGCAGATGTTTCTTGCGTCTAACCAGTCGACTTTCCTACCTGCCAGCTCGGGAACGTGTCCACTGAAAAAGTAGTTGTGGCCTCTGAAGAAGAACTGTTTTGGTCCTGTAAAAATGACATTGATCAGTATATTAAGCAACTTGAATCTAATTGATGTCACTTAATAGGGAAGACGCAAAGATATCATTCTACTGAAATAAGGGTCAATCCATGAATCGTCATAAGAGACGTCACTCCTGTTTATAACAACTTATGAGAGATTGGAAAAGGGGCACCGATGGGATTCGAACCCGCATTCCGTGGAGCCGACTTAACCAATTCCTTTTGATTGCTCAAGATGGCTTGCTGTCCCAGTCCGGTAACGAACCGGTTGATTCTGTTGACCGCCGCTAGATGGAGAACCAAGAGCAAATGAGCGGTGGCGTTTTGTTTTCTAACAATATTTGGGGTTATGGTCGACCAGGGGGGTGAAACTCATATTGGAGAACGGGAAACAGAGCACCAAAGCAGTGTTGCTGGTGCATAATATACTAAGTGACATATAAATCCGAACACCCAGTTAAAATGGTTTTATTTTAATCAAAGTTGGTTAATGTATTTATCTTACTGTAAATAACAAGTGAAAAAATTTTCAGCCTTATCAGTTGGGCATTTCGGTTTTTATACTGCTTTTTTTAAATTCACTAACGCTCTAAAAATGAATATTTCAGCCGCAGTAAAGAATCAACGTTGGCGGATTTTGGTTCTTGACATCCTTTACGATCGGTTACGATGCCTAGAGTACGGAGACCTGTACGATTTCGTCAACTTAGTGAGTTTGATAGGGGCCGTATAGTGGGACTTCGGGAAGCTGGACTTTCTTTTCGGGCAATTGCAGTTAGAGTGCAAAGAAGTGTAGACACTGTGGTTAGGTGTTGTCAGGCATGGCTTCGAGAAGGCCGTACGCAAAGAGCAAGGGGCACTGGACGCCGCCGTACAACAACAGACCGTGAAGATCGCCGCCTAAGATTATTGGCCTTAAGGGACCGTTTCTTCACTACCAGGTCCATTGCAAACCGAATGGTTTGCAGAACACGGAAGACCTATTGGCATGTGAAGTGTTTACTGACGAATGAGAAGTTTTGGCTTGTTTTCATACCGGCCACACTGGGTCCTCCCTTTAACTCGAGAACACCGACGTAATCGGTGAGTGGTGCAGACAACGGTCACTCTGGGATCAGGAATGGAACAGTATTGACTTTAGTGACGAGTCTCGATTTTGTTTAGGCATGCACGATGGTCGTGCCAGGGTTAGAAAGCGACGTGGTGAAAGGAGGAATCCACAGTTTTTTGTTGAAAGACATGTTCATCACACTGTTGGAGTTATGGTCTGGTGTGCTATAGCTTATGGTTCCAGGTCACCTTTAATCTTCATTAGAGGTAACATGAACGCGCAGCGTTATATCCACGAAGTTCTAGAACCCCATCTTTTACCCTATCTTGACACCCTGGCAGATCCAACTTTCCAGCGAGATAATGCCCGACCACATGTTGCAAGAGTCACAGTAGACTTCTTTCAACATAATGATGTCACATTGTTACCATGGCCACCAAGATCTCCCGACTTATCCCCAATTGAGCACGTGTGGGATATGATGGGTAGGAGATTGCTCAATTTGCAACGTCCTCCTCAGACTCTAGAAGCACTTCGAGCGGAGTTGGTGGTTGCCTGGAATGAGATACCACAGGAGGACATTGACCACCTGATCAGAAGCATGCCTAGGCGCGTTGGAGAATGCGTAGCACATCAGGGTGCATCCACACATTATTAAAGGTCAAAGGGCTTTAAAGCAGTGCAATCATTTTGAAATTTTTATCATTTACTTATTATGCTTCATTAAGTACTTATACAAAATTTTATTAAAATAAAACCATTTAAACTGGGTGTTCGGATTTATATGTCACTTAGTATACATAGAATAAGATAATCAGAAGACCTTAAAATCATTAAATGCGTAACTGCGCTGTTTTCAGTTTATTTTATTGTATCCCTTGGGGCAGTACAGATTAAAGAAAAGACTACAGTCCATCTCACGTCTGTAATGATAATACTGAGATACTACTAAACAGCTTTTTGGCATTTCAATTTCGAAGCTACCGGTCCTCGCTTAGAGATGGTAACACAGTTAAGGATATACTAGGGGTATACCGATGTTTATGATCCTTTCGATACATCGATATATCGTCATCAAACCATCGATGCCTAAAAATCGATGTTCTACGTCCGATGTATCGATGTTTTCGACTGATGAAGGTACCATTTATCAACAAACAGTTGGTCTGTTGACATGCCTAGATACATTAATAACTATTACTATTAAATGATAATTTTTAGAAGTTAAAAACTATCTAAACTCGATTCCTCGGAAATTTGACATTTTCGCCCTTCCGATTGCGTATTCTGCAGCTCGGTGACGCAATTGCAGCTAAATGATCGAAATAACCAGTCCCGTCGACTGATTATAAAGTAGTACTGGTACGCACATCGCAAAATTCGTCCGACTTCTTAAAATTCGCGTAATGCCCTCATGTTGCACGTAAGGATCGATTCGTGTTTTTTTTTTCGTATTACTTTCACGCATTGCACAATTCGGCATCGGCTTGTTCGGAACACTGTTCGAGAAAAGGCAGATTTCAGATTTCCAATCCGGCGGTACTGTTATTAGCGAGATCAAAGGTGTAACGGATAAAATGAACGCTACTAGATGAGCCGTGGAAAGGTTGCAGGTGGATTTTTGCATTGGTCGTTGCTTAAAATCGGACGACGTATAAGGCCATAATCTTTTGTTTGATATTGAAGTCACCTGCAAATTCTGACATCTAGGAAGGCACTGAAAATACCCTTGGATTTACATTATCAAATGCAATATTTGTATGTCGACAGAAACAGTCAAAATATTTGTACATCAGGAAGTATAACACAAGTAACACGACGAATTCCTATAAGCATATTTCCAAAAATAACCCTTTTTCGTGGCCGTACACGTACCACGTGTTTTTAGACTTAAGTCGATTGGACATGACTTATCTCTATGTAAAAGTGTTTCGTTTGTTCGTCCAAGTTTTCTTTTACAATCACATTTTTTCAGATATTTTCGAGGCAGAGACATGTTCTTTATGCTTGGTGGCGTTCAACCTCACTTTGCACGTACTGTGAGAAATTGCGAGGTCGAGGAATTTGATGGTGTACATGGATTAGTAGAGGTCAAGAGGATCCTATTCAATGGCCACCTCATTCCCTTGATTGTAATCCTTGCAATTTTTTTATGACCATACTTCTTATGTAGGAGAGGGGGTAGTTTTTACCCTTCATGAACGCTTTTCCGTAAAAATCAGATATTATAACATCTAGCAAATCAGACGTGTTCAAAATTTCAGTCGAATCGGTCTATCAGTTCCAACAATATCTAAAAAAAAATGTTTTAAACAGAAAACTTTGACGCCATCTAACGGACAAAAGAATCACTTCTGCATAGAGATAAATCACGTCGAATCGACTCATTTTGAGTCTAAAAATACGTGGTACTTCTTTGTCCACAAAATATTGAACACCCTGTAGAACATTCTAAATATTTTCGAACTATTCATATAATGTATGTAAAGTCTTCTCAAACTTCATTCACTTTACGTCAGACAAAGACGCTAATATCCGTTTGTCGCTGCCTGATCAGGCATTTATGGCCCGCTGCTCAGTAAAATCAGCTCAAGGTTCTTACGATTTTTACGGAAACAACCCATCAGAATTTGTCACTATGAAAATTTGTCCAAGCGTCAATTGTACTTGAAAAAGGTCAACGTTAAGACTGAACCGTACAATAAAGAGCTAGAGAAATATGGGCAATTTGGTAAAGCACTTTGTCACCACCCTATTTTAACGAATTTGAACGCTCTTCAAGAAGCACAGGCAAGCGATACAAATAACAGTAAATGCATACTTCTTATGAATATAGATAATCTGATATATTCTGAAGATTTATAATTGCTATTATTTCCAATAGTCCTATTAACATAAAGTAATGTTTATAATTTTGTCGACAGTATATACAGGGTGGCGCATCGAAAACGAAACAGACGCATTTACTGGCAGCTCAGTTTCTTTTTTTTTGGAAAAAACGCTCAGACCCGTCGATTTTGTTTTCGACGGGGACACAAGTTTGGCAAAAAATCACGTTAACACGTGCAGCCCCCTGGGCGGGGGTGACACCAACCCTAAAATCTTAAATGGAAAGGGGGGTCGAGTGATATCTTATTTTAAAGGTCTTTCAATTCCCTTTATAAGATGTAAAATACATCAGCTTAAGATCCGTAGTTTTGAAGATTTATTGAATTTGAAGCTAAAAGTAGACTTTAATAGGTACATCAGATTAGTTTGTACTACTTTCAGAAGAAATTTGACTAAAAAAATTTACTTAATAAGTACGCCCATGGTTTGTTTATCATTTTGTTGTTGAAAATAGCTATTGGAGCGTTTTTTTGCGGCAAAAAAGTTATTTCTTGAAGAAAGATAAGGAAATATCTCGTACTTATTTTAAATAGGACTTTAGTACATAGTTTGCGATTGATTTGACCAAACGTTGTTGCTAAAATAACTTGTAACGCTTTATTACATAAATTAACCATGGTAAATCGACGGGTCTGAGCGTTTTTCAAAAAAAAACTGAGCTGCCATTTAATGCGTCTGTTTCGTTTTCGATGCGCCACCCTGTATAATATGTACACATAGCATATAAAATCAAAGACATTTGTGATGATAAGTGAACAGTAATTATAGTAAGTGTTACTCACCAGTATCTTGAAATTGCTAATTAATGTAAAAATTACACAACCGAATTAAAGAACAAGGTCAGACGAAGAATAATGTTAGTGGTAGAACTAGGGTAACTGTATTTCACGAACCAATAATATTCAGCGACTTTAAAAGATCAGATATCAATTAGTTAGTATCTATCTATGTATCTATCAATTTTCAAATTTCAAAGACCTATACTAAGTGACATATAAATCCGAACACCCAGTTTAAATGGTTTTATTTTAATAAAATTTTGAATAAGTACTTAATGAAGCAT